TAAATCCCACAGAAACAGGAAGGGTAAGCTAATCTCTTTAACCATACTCGCTAATAGCACTCAGCTGGTAGTCCTCCATCTCGCTTTTCCGGCAGTGTGCTTGAGTGCCAGCAAACGGTCCTCATTGCCCCCCCATATTAAATACCAGAGTCACAAGACAAACACATACCCTACCAGTTGAAACCCTTACAGGGGTATATACAGAGGCGGGGCTATAGGGCCACTGGCCTACAGGTGAAAGCTGATTGGCTGAGTGCCCCATCCCCTGTCACTCACCAAGTCAAAACATATCATTAATAAGGTTGGCCCCTTTTATGCCCCCACCTTAAAATTTCTGCAAATATCCTAGGATTGACCCTGATCCCTTAATGGATGTACTTAATCCATTCCAGCGGAATATCTATCTGTATAAATGGGCAGAACTATAATATGGACTGAAATCGCCAGCTACACAGTAAAAATCAGGGTAAAAACAGTAGCACTAAGCTAGACACCACAGAGCAGTGGTGACCCGTGCTTCCATTCCAGATGATGGGGGGGTGGGAGGGCTGGATTGAGGTTTTCCTGCAACAACTGGGGAAGCCTACACAACATCAACATCACGCACCGCAGTGCAGGAAGATTGGCGCCAACTTGCCATCTGTCACAGCCAGTTACAGCAGGGGACTGGATGGAGTCCTACCTTTTCAGCTGTGTCTCTCCGCATTTGCACTGTTTCTACAAAGATTATAACACTGATCCATCAAGAACAACGTGGCTATTTTTTTTCCCTATACAACCCAAGGCTTAAGTACCAAGAGTTTCCTAAAATGTATGAATTCTCAGGACAGTTGAAGAGAATCTTGTAACATTTATCTGAGACAGGGCCTACCTTGAGCATGGAATCCATCCCAGAATGCAAAGGGCATGGGGGGGGGATGCGTCCAGAATGGAATGTGAATCCATCTTAGAGAACATGATCACAATCACACACTATGGGCTACAGACACCAGTTCACCTAAACTGCATGTTTTTTAGACTGTGGGAGGAAACTGGTGGACAAGAAGGAAACCCACACAAACACAGGGAAAGAACAGAAAACATTTTGTTTGCTGGAGGCCGAACCCTCCTTCATTCCCATTCTCCATCCCAGAACATGTCATATCATCCACAAGCAAATAGTCAATTATCCTGAAATCTGTGTGACAATGTGTGCAGACCAACACTAGGTGTAAATTGTAAAGGTGGCTATTTTAAAATTAAAAATCAAGCAAATATAAGCGAAAGGGTTGGGTTACCATAAAAAGAACAACCTTGAAACCTTTTTTGATTCGAAGCCATGTTGTCTGTTCTCACGTGTTTCGTAAACCAAAAAGGTGTGACTTCACCGGATTACAGTCCCTTCTCCCCCCATTGCTAGCATGCACGCGGCGCTCTAAACATAGGTCACGCTGCACGAAGGTGCGGACGGCGACTCGCCGAGCGAGGCTACACCCACCCGGCCGCGCCGCGTCCAGCCACCTCGGGGAGCCGCTCGGATTTACTCGGCGGGGCGAGTCGGCGCTCGGCATCGCAAATCCGGAGGATTAGCGGAGTGCCGACCCCCCCCACCCCCCTTACCCGGAGAGGTGGGAATGAAGTCACGGAGCGGTGAAAATTGCTTTGGAAAGGGACATTACTGCTTTTCCCAGAACGTGTTGGAAGACCCATCCGGAGTATTTATATCCCTTTGGGCGTTAGACAGCTATTGGGCTTTTATCAAAAACATGCAGAAATGCAATTCAGCCCCCTGCCTCACACTAGCTGTGTCACTATTTTCATGTTTTTCCAGGCAATTTATTTTATTATCGGATTCAGGTTTAATAATCGCCAGGCCTTGTGGATAATTATTAAATACAGCCTAATCGTTTTCATAATAACCTAAAGGACAGCTCCCTTTTAAATGCCTACCATTTTATTTTGGGAGGTAAATATTTACATCCTTGTTGAGATGGCTTATATTTAAGGTAGCCTGGATGAACTAAATTGTGAATCAGCGGCTGATTTAATAGTTAGTTTATCTGAATTAGATCACACTGCCGGCAAATGCCAAAAGCAGAATGACCGTCTGTCTGTGAGACTGGGGGGAAAGCGGGAGAGTTCATTACAGGCTGCCATCCAAGTATTTGCTTTACGCTTGATCGATCTAATCAAGACGGCTAGACCTAATCGGCTCAAAGTTTTGGCTTAAAGCGTCTTTAAGCATCCGGACTGTGAATAAAAAACACAGATGTCTCTGCAGGGACATTTACTACGATCCGTAAGACACCACCTCCCTGTCGGTCAGGAACTTGAAGGTAACAAATAAAATTATTTTGCATAAATGGGCAATGTGCAAGCAATGCAATTGTTTTATTCTAGTCTACGATCTATTTCAATACTATTTTTATGTGTGATGCTTGCGCTAAGCCGTACAGCTATCTAATTTAGTTGCGCATGTGCACGCGTACAATGACAGTAAAGTTTAATTTTGGGTGAGCTTTTATGCTACCCGTATATAGTATATAACTGTGACGTTTAGAGCTTAAAGAAGTGGTCCTCACCTTAGAGTGTCTGGAAGAAGTCACTCTGAAAGATCTGCAGGAGCTTCTTAGCTCGCGCCCTGAACTTCTCGTCACCCTCGGACTGACAGGTCTCCATTGCATGCAGATCATTCTCTGTGTCTGCTGGGCAAATGCACACAAGCAGAGCGTTCACGGTATCTGTCAGGCCTATACAGCAGTATTTATCAACCCGCTCCTCGCGGGCCCCTGGATGGTCTACATATTTGCTCCCTCCTAGTTCCCAGTAGGAAGCAAAAATATGGACAGTCTGTGGGTCCCCGAGAACCGGTTTGAGAAACACTGCTATACAGATCTAGGAAGCGTGTGGTAAATGGTTTGCCCTAGCTTTGTATCAAATAAACCACAGCGACCAACATGTGACCCTGTCCTAGGGCCTTTCATAACAAAAACAATGACACATACTCTAAATAATTTATGTAACTTTGATCATTTCTAATGTATATAACACGCATTTAACAATATAGGTATTTTATATATATATAGAAAATTTACATATTTCAAGATTTCGGAGAGCGGGTTACTTTTTTAACGCAGTTACCATGGTAGGCATGGGCGTAAATTAAGGGGGGATTGTAACCCCCGCAATAATCAAAGCCAGCCAATGCATCCCCTAGATCTCCATAAATGGGTGGAGACCTCAACCACTACCCCACACCCCAATGCACAACCCAAAGTTATGCCCATGACGGTAGGGCATATTTATGTACCAAAAACACTCTCAAACAAAACCACCGTTTCTGCCTGCCTGATGAATACTAACCAAAGATATGAAACTGAGTGCTGATAATTATATACACGCGAAAAGTTGATCCCACCTTGTCGTTTAATGGATATTTCTCTGACTTTTTTTATCTAACAGTTCTCTTACGTTAGTTGTGACTGCTTACCTTTAAACCACTTTAAAGATTGTGAGGTAATTAAGGCATTTATACTTAACGGGTAAAAAATCGAGGCGTTCGTCTAATTTATGCTGGGACACAGAAACATGCCGAGCCTTTAGGTTGATAAAAACAACTTCCCGTAAGAAATGTTTAAAAATCGAATGGTGAATAAGAGTTTATATTAAAGGATGTCACCTAAACGCTTACCATAAAACCGCAGTCAGACCTCAACCGACAACGGCACATCCAAATCTTATCATAAAGTGCCGTGCTTTTAAGAAGAATAAATGTGTGATTGACCCAGTTACACATTTATTCTTTTCACTGCAAAATTGTGTCAATTTGATCACGAATACTGAAAGAGAAATTGATGTTATAGTGATACAAATTAAAATGAATGAACTACCCTAAGGGCTGAAAGTATTGAATATACAAGGAACGTACGGTAGCTTTCATTAGCCAATCAGATGCTTAAATGGAAAATGGGCGGGCTTTTCGTAATACGTGGGTGGACCTTGCTCCCGCATCGATCTGTTTATTTTAAATTTATTAGACTTAGGAAAAAATGAAGTATAAATAATTTGGAATTTTGGACAATGACAGTATCTATTTTTTTATTATTATAATTTCCGGTAATCTGATTACAAATGCCCAGACGCAACGACACTATGAAAATGATAAACAATGATAGGACACAATTCAGATATCAGCTTTCATGCTAATAAATATAAATTACCGCTACAATAGAAGCTGTTCATTTCTTTAATTAAACTATAATCCATATGAGGGTATATAGCCTGTATAGTACATAAGATAACGGTGTTGATGACCTTTAATATTCGGCTTTCTGAACGGTTACTCCGCGGTTATTAAAAAGCAATTATTAATCATCAATAATTTTTAGTTTGTCGTCCATTTTGTACGAAGAAAACCCTCATTGAATAATAATTACCATCTATTGGCCTGTATTCTCTGTGAGGGTAATTTAAATGGGTAATTTAAATTGGCGTAGGTTTGTACTCCATAAATCTTCCTCCAGCGCGTGCCCAGCGTCAGCAATGAATTGTTTAATAAAGACGTTAAATGGTGGCGAAAAACAAACAAACACAACAAGGGCTGCACATTAAAACGTAATTTTTCTGCTGGACCCAACCCAATGGCTGTGCTTCAAGATCCGCAAGCAGCACATGGCACCGTTATCCTGGTTTTATAAGGTTTTTTGCAGCGCCTTAGACCAGCATTTCCAAATACTGTCCTCAGGGACCCACGTTCGGTCCACATTTTTGTTTCGTCCCAGGTCACTACTGCAAAAATCTGCACTGTCTGTGGGTCGCCTGAGGGCCGTACTGGGAAACACTGCCTTATACTAATTACCATTGTCAGTTTATGTCGTTAGGTATTCACGGCCGAATCAAGATTTTGACAAGCACCTTTTGTCATTGGTCATGTCAATTTTTGCCGCTAGGCAGCCCATCAATTACTGGTCTTGTAGGTCATACTGAATGGCCGCTCATTGTAAAGAAGAAAAACTGACCCGACTAGGGAAAAAATTTATTTTTTTTTCTTCCATCACTTTGTAAAACATTGAAAAGCTGCAGAACAGTGAGTGTCCGTTTTTGAAAACATTTCTAGCAGGTTAAAAAGGAAACAACCAGAACCAAATGCAAAGAGAACAGCAGCCCCCCACCCAAATGCACTGTTTATAGTGGTGTCAGCAGCAACTACTGGCAGCTGTTCTTCTCGACAACAGACAACAGGGCAAGTTCTCTCATCGCACCAGTGCAATTTTATAAAACATAAAAAAGCTAGTGAACAGCAAAGATCCTAAATGATCCCAGCACTGAGTTCTGAAAACAATCCTGTGTTACTGTGTGCTCAGGCGTACTGAAGACAGACTTTGGAGGCCTGTTTGAAGAATTTCTTTTGAAGAAAAAAAAAATGGCAGGTAAAACATTTTTCCAAAGACAGCATCATGAGTTAAGGTTCAGAGATCTAAAGATCTTCTACCAGCTCTGAGCAAATGTTTGCTAGCAGAACACAACTCCCAGAGCTGAACTATGTGTGTGTACATGTGACAAGTCCTGAAAGCAAGGTAGGTGAAGACCATAGCACAGAGCATTCCTACCTCGCCACCCATCCTTGGGCCCTGTGCTCTCACAAAAATCTAATCTTGCAAAACACAGTCTTTGATAAGCACACAATGAGCTGAACAAGGAATCTAGGGACAGTTAAAAAAAAAAAACATAAAAAAAAAAAAACCATCTATAGTCTGCTGCTCTCACACCAGAACACATAATCAATGTCTTCTGCCTCCTGAACGGGGGGGTGGGGTATATCAGAATACCAGGATATGATTGTGAAAGAATGAGAGAGAGAGAGAGAGAGAGAGAGAGAGAGATGAGGGGAACAAACACAGACCCTCCCTCCCATCGGAAGGTCAAGATCGGAAAGGATCTCTCAGATATCGGAATCCCAAACGAAGTCCTACAAAAGGTGCAAGATAAGAATCGGACGTCTGATCAGAATCTGACACAGCACTGACTGCCCCCAAGTCTCTCTCTCACATGGGCGTTTGTGTCCAAATCAACTGGATGCGGCGTGAAGGGATCTGGGCAAGGTCCAGAATCGGCTGCAGCTGGGAATTCACACGGCGGCCGTCTGTACTACAGATGGGATGGTGAAGGTCGGGGGCTATTATCTTGATATCCACTCAAGTCTTATCCTAGTGCCAACCTAGCTGAACATTCCCTGCGGCCTTGCACCTCAGACGGCAGACTAGGAGCATGTGGACTCCGCTGCTACTCCGCTTGGCAAGCGTCCTACAAATGAAAGTCTTTGGCATCACATGCAGGTGTCAGTCGGCAGCAGACGGGAGGAAGAGACCGAACCGCTTCCCCCCCCACCAGGAAAAAAAGAGAAAGACTCTTAGCTGCACTTTTGACACAGGAACGGTTGAATGGGAGCAAAACACTATAACACCACACCATTGTGTGTTTTTTTTTTTTTTGTTTTTTTAGTTCATGTGTGTGTACGCATGTTTAAGTTCAGTTCGCAGATCAGCGTGCAGCTGCGTAAACAGCTTGTCCGTTTCCTTGACGATCTCCCTGCTCAAAACACCCCTGCCCACCCCACGCGTTCGCATGACGGTAACGTCGACGCAGCTCCGAATGCGTGCCCCAAAGCGAAGGTCAGGCCGCTTCCTTCGTATCCAGGCAGGAGTCTTCACCGTCTCCCCGCCAGTCACTACAGAAACAGGGTCACTTCCTGGGAGGTGATGGCCCTTTGCGAAACAGGTAAATTGGTCTCTGAAATCCTGTGGGATGAAGAGATGGAGTTATTGACAGGGGATTTGTGTGTGTGTGTGTGTGTGTGCGTGTGCATGGATGATGAGACATAGGATGACAGTGTTTCCCCTACCATTATAGCACCTCCCGTCCCCCCCCCCCTTGAAGGTCAAGTTAATTTTATTTAAATTTTATTTTCTATATAGCGCCAGATCACAACAGAAGTCATTTACGGCAGAGTTCCGCCCCAATGTGCGTACACACAGGTGAGCACACTCCCACCAGCAGACAGAGAGCGCGTCGGATAATGTGGCCCGTCAATCACCTGAAAAGCAGACAAAAATATCTGCCTTTTAAAAATATCTTTATATTTTATATTTATATTTTTTATATTGACTGCTGTCATTAAAAGAAACACATGAACACCATGAATCCTGTCGGTGTCTGTCTGCCCCCCCCCCCCCAAGCTGTAAACCTTCGGGGAAACAATGGATGAGATTAACCTGTGTGTGGTTTTGAACCATTTCTAGCAATAAACATCAAGTGGGGCCCCAAGTGCTAACGTAAGAACGTTATGCTGCTGGCAGAAGGGTTGGGATTGGGGCAAATGCGGACGGGGGGTGGGGCTAATGCGGACGGGGGGTGGGGCTAATGCGGACGGGGGGTGGGGCTAATGCGGACGGGGGGTGGGGCTAACCTCTGGAGGAGCTCTTGGGCGTCCCAATGAGCTCGTAACTGGAGAAGCCCACTTCCGACGTCAGATACGTGCTGAACTGGTCGGGCTTGAAGCGGATACTGTGGTAATTCTTAAAGATGGCGTCCTGGAAAAGAAGAGGGGGGAGAACATTCAAGAATGATTTCCCACAAATATTGCAATAAGGAATTTGACTGGATTCTAAAGGGGGGGGGGGGGCACTTCAGTCACTCGCTGCCCTGCCTATGTACCCATGGACCTGCCTATACCAGATAAATGGTTCCACCCCTGAAATTCCCACCTCCAAAACACCACATTTCAGTTCTCCAACACCGACTTCTCTGACTGAACTCGATCTCTTGCTGGTTGAGTTAGAGGCACTGTGCCAGATTTAGTCTGTTCCCACCTTACTACCACCTCCTCTAGCAGCAGGGAAATCACAGCAGCTTCCTTCAAGAGGATCCGTGACACAAAATCTCCGACGTGAGGGGGCCATTTGCTCAGGCCGCAGAGAAGCCCTGGGACCACGTGACTCTTGGATCAGATAATCAAAGAACGGGCTTCAGGTGCTGATGATTATCTATGCATCCCTTCATCTCCCTGCACCGCCATCGACTCTCACATGCTCCCCTTGATTGTGACTGATAACATTGGGTTGCAACGGGGCCAGAAACTTTCCATTCCATGGGAATGGAATTTGGAAAATATTCCAAGCTGGAATTCCATGGGAATGAACTGGAGAACTGGAAATTTTGCACAGTTTATACAAACTCGTATACAAACATTTTGTTTTGTCATAGACAGACATGCAAGCAAATTTCTAATATAGGATTTTTAAAAAATGACAATTTTGACTGATTAATTTGTGAGTATAACTTTAATCAATTTTCTCATTGAACAACAAAAAAATGAATGTTGAATTAAATTCCTACGATTAAGTTCCCTGTTATAGACTAAATTTCCAGTTTATTTCCATTAATTCCCATGGAAAGTTTCCAACTTTGAAAATTCCCTGAATTCTGCAACCCTGCCTAGTGAAACTACCCCCCCCCCCCTCTGACCACCCCCTCCAGCCCCCTTATTTCCCCAGCCACCTCCTCACTCACAGTCAGCTTCTTCCTCTTGCCGTAGGAGCCCCACGGCTGCGGTTCAAGGATGAAGAGTCCGCCGGGCCGCAGGTGCCGGAAGACCCTGTGGAAGAGGCGCTGTACGCCGCTGTCTCCCCAGTTCAGGTGGACCCACTTGGTCACGCTCAGGCACAGGATGACATCATACTCCGGCTTCTGGGCGTGCAGCAATATGTCGTTGTCGAGCACGTAGTTCCCCTGCGGGCAGGAGACCAGGGTCCCGGTTAGCTTCTGCCTGACATTACGAGGAGCGTCCACTTTATTGCTGCTTCAGTTTTTAGATGGCAGTTCACATTATATGAGGATTTACATGCAGTCACATGATTTTAGGATAAACTGACCTCTGGCATCTAATGAGGATTTTGGGCACAAAAATGTTAAATAACCAGTTCAAATTAAACACAACATTATCCCTCATGTAATTGAGCATGAATGTTGCCAACAAGCCTGGTCGGTCTGATTCCGTAAGCAGCGCATCTCCAAACATATTTTTCTTCCATTCATCCATCCATCCATCCATCAATTTTCTGTACCCGCTTGTCCTATTCAGGGTCGCGGGGTGAAATTTCAGCCGTAACTTAAACATCGTTCAGGCAGCTATGCAAATACCACCACATGGTTAACGCCTTATTAGCTTTGTTTATTATTTTCACTGTCAAGTGTCAGTACACCATGACATTTTTATTTGTAACTGGCGAGTTGTTCATTCACCATGTACGTTAAGCAATGTACTGCTCGTCACCCAGAAGATGCTGGTGTGTGTACCTTCAACAAAGTACTGAACCCACACTGCAAGATTTCCAGCTGCATGAAGAGATACAGAATCGGACCATTAGCAACAACAGCATAGCAGGAAAATAAAAACTAAAGCTGACTGTACACACATAGTCATTGTGCAAAACAAATGTATAAAAAATAAAAATATTTATAATATCATATTGTTTTATTGTGATGTCATTTAGATAGATAGACAGGATGTGATTTTATAATTTTGGGCTGGTTGCCAGTTACAAATAAAAATGTCATGGTGCACTGCACACTCCGGTCACTAGCCGGCAGCACCAAGCCACACTGACGCTCCACAGCAGAAATAAAAACAAAGCTAATAAGGCGTTAACCATGCGGTGGTATTTGCAGAGCTGCCTGAACGATGTCCAAGTTGTGGCTGGAATTTCAGCTCCAGTACGCCTCTCCTCATCTTCCTCACATATTTTCTGAGCTATTTTGTAAGATGAACCACTCTAAAGGAATTGTGCTCCTCTTAAATGGACACGAAACACACCTAAAGCAACACACCTACGCAGAAGTCACCTGACAGTCCAAAACAAAGATATTTCCCCACACGCATGGTTGCAAGCTCTCGCCGTGTTTAGACAAAGACAAGGAAGGAAGAGAGCTGCGGTGCGAGGGATCCAAGAGAAAGCACAACACAATCAAACTGGATCGGCACAATCTTTCACAGACACACTCACACCTCAGATAATACAACCCCCACGGGACCACACCCTCAACAGGAGCACTGGCTACCATTCTACTCATATTTGGGGGCGGGGCAAACTGCAGCCTCTACTTATGAACTTCCCAACATCTTGCAGAGGCACGAAACAGAAAGTGGTAAACAGCGCGGATGCAGAGACACTGCACCCTTGTTCCGGGATTCCCACTCTGTACGGACGCAGCTGTCATGGGGAGGCACAAGTGAGCTCCGGGCAGACACTGGGCCCCACAGCTGTACTCTGGGCCCAGGGGGAGTACGGGGAGGGGAGGGTGGTTTAATCCACATGCTACGCTGCTCCACAGAGGAAACCAACAGACAAACATGCGTATGAACAGATACAAGAACAAGAGTAAGTAAATTGACAGGAAGTGTTACACAGGGGATAATGAAAAACAGCCCTTCCAAAGCATCTACGAACAAAACAAAACAACAAAAACAGGCCTCACTCCACATTTATGAATCCAGAGCACACGCTGCCACATACATCACACTACCTACTAAGAAAAAAAGAAAGAAAAAAAACATGACAACCAGAATTTAAAAGCGACACCCTGCAGTATGGTTTCAGTGGCAGCCACACGCGTCCTTGTGAACGAACAGGAAGAGGCAGGCAGATGACACCGGCACCAAAGCCCTGCTTTGTCAAACCATGAGCTAAACGACGACCCCAGAGACAGCAGAACGGACCGATTGTGGTGGTCCAGACCTCCACAAATCGGCAGCACGCAGACAGCAGCAGCCGCAAAGGAACCTTAGGTTCAATTCACCAGCTCAAAAAGGGGGTTTTATAGCATCAATGACGAGAAGCGTGACAATGAAACACAGGTACCTGCAAAACACACCCACTCACAGGGGGAACACTTACCCTCACAAAGGAGATATTAGCAGGAAAGTCACCAGGGACCGCGGGAGGAGTGTCTGGGAGAGGGGGGGCAGCGATGGGGCCCCTGGAGATCTTCAGGGAGACAGGGAAAGGATGGTCCACATCCATGGGAGAGTTGCGCGGGGGCTCAGGTTCCATGGTGCCTTCTACCCCTTCCATATCCTCTGAACACACTGCCCCAGTGTCTCCACGCTCCACGGACACAGGCGGCTCAGCCAGTTTCGTAGAACCATCCGGCACCCACATCACATCCAGTCCAGCCTCAGTCTTTTTATCACTCTTGTCAGGTCTGTCCATTTTCTGGACGTTGTTTGCTGCTCCGCCACTAGGGGACTCCGGCAAGGCATCCCGTCGGCCCGTGGAGTCACCGTGGCTGCCGCCAGCGTCCTCCCGGACCGCCCTGCGGGCCTGCTGGGCCTGCACCTCGGACAGGTAGTGCCGGATGTTCTGCCGAGCAGCATGCACCAGCGCGCTGTCGATGTCCAGCCCGACGATGCGTGCCGGCCGCCAGTTTTTGGCGATCGCCAATGTCAGGTGGCCCGTGTTGCAGCCCAGGTCCAGCACGGCTTTGCCCTGGAACCACTCTGGCTGAAGGACGCACATGCGCGGGTCCTCACTCCAGCCCGGGTTGCGATAACCATAATACTTGTTGTAATTACCATACTGGAACTTCTGCTGCTGCCGCGGCTTCCGGTGACTCTGACTCGGCGCCGGTCCACTCCGTCCGCCCCCCGTGCTGGTGCATGGGGTGTGAAACGTCTGAGGAGCACCCTGACCAGGCCGTCGCCCCTTCTCACTGCCACCCTTCTTAGCCGAGGAGTTGGGAGTGACTGCAGCCGGGCGTGACTCACACTTACTGGAGGCTCGCCTGCGTTTACGTTGACGGGAGCTGAGTTGCTGGGATGGAGGTGCAGCCAATTTCGCTGTCTCAGGTCCACAGCTGGCTGTGCCGCGGGGCAAGATAGGCGGTACTACCGTATCCCTACAGTTGATGACAGTGTTGAGCTCGTAAGGCCGCGGAGACTCCAGCAAGGGCATGGAGCTGAGTAAGACAGCGCCCTCTCTGGGGGCCTCCAGGACTACGCCTTCAGCTGCAGATGCCCCACCAGCAGTTGCGACAGTGCACCTCTCGCTGCTCTTTGTGCTCTCCAGCTCAGAGGGCTCAGGGTGGGCGGAGGTGGCGGCGTTACCCCCTCCCCCGTGGTGCCGATTGCGATGCCTCTTTCGGCCCCCACTCTTGATGGGCGACGCCAGGATGCCGGCGTCCCCCCCGGTGCTGTTGAGATTGAGTGGGTCAGTGATGTCACGCGGGATAAGGATCTCAACAGGGTCGCGGCTCTTCGCCGGAAGCGGCGAAGACTTGGGCGTCTCTGCGTTGATGGCCCGGTTCACCTCCTCGTCCAGCAAGCTGTTGAGGTTAAGCGGGTCAAAAATATTCCCACCAAGCAGGAAGTTGGTAGGCAGGACCGGGTCACTCTCAGAATTGGCCCGTCGGCGTCTCTTGCCAACACCGGGATGCTTAAATCCCACGTTCATGGTGTTGCGCCGTTTGTTCAGCTTCGGTGGCTGAGGCGGCCGTTGCGGTTCCGCTTGCTGCAGGCCGTTTCTAGGCTTAAACGGGGAGCCGGCCATCTTGGCCTCAAGCTCCACCCTTTCGGCATGACCACAACTGTTGGTCGAGTCGCTCTCCATCAGGATGCCGCTCCCAGTGAGCGCCACCACGGCACATGTGGACGCCGAATCTGAATTTCCGGAAGTCGCCATATCAGCCTCCGCCACTGTGGGCCCCTGGGCACAGCGATCATCTCTTTCTGTTCCTTGCTGTGGCTGCAGGTGAGCTGCAGGATCCACTCTTACATCACCTGGCAAAACAGTCTCTTTGTCCACTGACATTTCTATCATCTTCTGCTGGACGGTGCGTAGACAGGTGACGGAGCTGGCATTTATCTTAAAAATACAAATCAAACAACAACAAAAAAATGTTGTGATCAGACTCAACGTTTATATCTCGTTTTCCCCATTTTACACATACATATGATAGACAAACAATAAGTGCAGGCATACTCACTGTTCACTACCTGGAACTTTCACGTTTCACACCGCTTTTCTAAACAGTTGCAAGTTCGTATATTGTATATAATGGATCAGTAAACACCCATATATCGGTCTATAAAACACACTAGCGACCAAAGAAACTGATAGTTCTTCAGTGTCCAACTGTAGTCCTGACACCCGATTGCTATGCACCAAGACATACACATGAGCTTTGGCCAGAAAGCGAAGCAAGTTGACGAAGAAAAAACGTTCGTGCGTCGTACGTCGTAAAAACCCACCTCTTCCCTGCGTACCGTACGTGAACGTGCCTCCTGTATTATGCAAGTATCTGTGGGCTTATTTGCATAACCACGCCTCCTGTCGGGACACTTCTTAAAGTTATGAATTATTCATAAGCAACACAAGCTCGACGGAGGAAAAAAAGGCACTCACTCACGAACGTAGCGGTAGGCTCACAGATAAACACACAACTGCCTGGTCGCCGCCTCCTCTTTTGGTGAGCAGCCCCAACCTCCCTCCCACCTCAGCTATTTTCCACGACAAGAGAAGAAAAAAAAAAACAAATATAGCGTACAGCTGAGCTGACGACAAATTCACATCGTGCCCCTAAGTTTACTGGTTAGCAAGCTAATTTAATAGCTATCAACCAAACGTTATGACACGAATAAAAATTATGAAAAAGGGAAGACACACCCCTAAGAAAAAAAACGATATCATTTAATTAAAAAAGACTGATTGAATCGCGCCAGTCTGTGTGTAAGTGTGTATGTCTGTGAGCGGGTTCGCTCTGAACTACTAGCTATTTAAGTGGATGAACAAGTTTGTCACCATCCGCTCGCTCTCGCGCACCGTTCTGGCGTTTCAGTGCTCTTTATATGTTCTTTCTGGACCGCCGCACACACTGATTGACATTCCCAAACACCAATCACGTGGCGTTTTCAAAGCGTAGAGTCCTAAAACTAACCAATGGCATACACGTATTGGTGTTCAAGAAAGCCCCCGGTTTTTATTCATTAGGCATCCGAAACTCTGCCCGTACAGATATCGCAATTTTTGGTAAATACCACCAAAACATTAAAAACGACTGAATATATTTCCTGAAGAATTATTCATTCCGTTCGAAAATGTTTTAGTGTCAAAATGCGTGAAGTTAAGAATTAGGAGGCCGTGATCTAACGCGGGCAAACAGGGACCGGGCAAGACTACCTCTTGACTCGTGTAAACAACCTTCACGGTTTTGGGATATTTTCTGCTGACACATTAGACTCAATACTGTATTTATAGAAACATTTTTCGCAGATTGATAAAATAGTAACTAAGCTGTATATCTGGACATTTAGGAGAAAGCTTAAGGAATTATATAAAGTAACTTTCGCCCCTCCCCCACAGACAAGCGCCTTCAACATGTGGTAGCATAGGGGCCTGACGAACAGAGCTTTGCTAATGGGATATGCAGTTTTCAAGTTAACAATAGTTTTAAAAAATCTTTTCCATTCTTTATACCGATTCCTCTCGATACTCCCAGTTGTAGTTTAAATCGTTAAGCATTTCAACTACATATTGTTTAAAGCGGGTAGAAAAAATGGATGTATAGCTAGATAAGACTTTATGTTTGTGTGTCCAGATTTGGCAATATGCAGTATAATATCTGGTGATAGATGGCAAAGGGATATCACTTGCATGCATTCTCGTATATATGTAAATATATCAGCAACACGGGAGCTGCTTACCAGAGACTAAGACTAGATTAGAATAAGAGAAATTCATAACAGGTTGCTCTTATGTTATTTGAAATATATTTATTGTTGCCAGTTTTTCTTGAGCTACCTGCATCTTTTGATGTTTATATTATTATGCTTTCTTCCTGCAGTCTAAGAATTCAGAATTCTACTTTGGATTCGAAAGTCTGTAATCCAACTATCAAACGGCTCTGATGGCGCCCTCTAGAGGTCATATGACCTTAACAAAGCTTGGGTGCCTATTATACGTTAACTCGGTAGAAGTAATATATTCGCAAATAATAGTGACAATACGAATAATAAAAAACGCCACAACCATGACTGGGATAGGCAGACTACACTTTGACTGGGAGGTAGTTCAAAGGTTGTGGATTGCCATCTTCTCAGAGTTATAGGGTGCATCTGTAGTGAAATCCCTTTACTGTTCAGTTCCACACTATCTCTGATTTCAGATTTCGGTTGTGATTATCTCTTTCAAAGAATCCTTCTGAGAGGCTGATTGGTTTGCCCTCGGTTGTGAATGCCGGCATTCTGTGCATCTGCATTGAAATCACTTTACTGGGTTAATGCTATGTTGTTGTATGCTAGTGTTGTTTAATTTGCGTCCGTCCATTTATGTGCAACTCTGTGGCGCAATACATTGCATACACATTGGCCTTCTAAAGTTTTGTTGGATGTTGTTCAAAAGTAGTTGGTTTACACCCTGCTGGTTTCATGGACTTTTTGTGGCTAGCATGGTACAGGTCCACTCTGCCTCAGGTATCCGGGACCTATATCTTGATGCGGGATTTGTTAGTTAGCTGGATAACTTGTCAGGTTTAAGGTAGTCTGGGCTAAATGTAAGTGAACTAACATAAAGTCCGTTTAAACTGGTTTATCTTAAATCTGTTATCTAGCTAACCGACAAATTGCACTTCATGATACTGGGCTTGTATGCAGAAATAAGCCAACCCAAGTGTGCAATATCTGTCAAAGAATCCGTCTGATAGGCAGATCGGTTGGCCCTTGGTTGTGAAAGCTGGTGTTCTGTTGCGTAACATGTAACCGATACTGCAGTGGAATCACATTTCTGGGTTAATATAATAAATCACATGCATGTTTGATCTGAAATGGACGTTTTTGTCTGGCTCTGTGGCGCAATGGATAGCGCGTTGGACTTCTAGGTGTTGATTGGGTGTAGTTATTCAAAGGTTGTGGGTTCGAGTCCCACCAGAGTCGTGGGAGTTTGTCGTTACCTTCAATCAGTTTTATTTTGCCTCAGATATCAGATCCAGAAAAAACTAACCCAGGTGTGACATATCTGTCAAGGAATCCCACTGAAGGGCAGATTGATTGTGAAAGCCGGCTTTCTGTTCTATCAAAGTAAATGTGTCTGCAGTGAAATCTTTCTAGGTCAATGGCATAAATCTCAGCCGTGTTTTATTTGGTCTGGCACAATGGGTAGTGTGTTGGACTTCTAGAGATCATCCAAAGGTTGTGGGTTTGAATCCCGTCCAGTCTGTTGGCCTTCGTTGTTAGTGTCATTTAGTTCTACTCTGCCCCAGATATATGATTCAGAAAAAAATCAACACTGGTGTGATGTTTCTAGCAACGTTAAAGCCATAAATCACAGGAATTGGCCTGGTTTAACAGGCTCTGTGGTGCAATGTATAGTGTGTTGGACTTCTAGCTTTACAGTAGGTGAAGCTGTTCAATGGTTCTGGGTTTGAGTCCCACCAGAGTCATAGCCTTTTGTCATTAGCATTGTTCAGTTCTGCGCTACCTCAGATATCAGACGCAGAAGTAAGCTAACCCAGGTATGACATCTCTGTCAAAGAATCCTTCTGAGAGGCAGGTTGGTTTTGGAATCTGGCTTTCTGTTAACTCAAAGCAACCGCATCTGCAGTGAAATCACCTTTCTAGGTTAATGCCATAAATCCCTGGCATGTTAGATTTGAACCAAGAGGTTGCTGTTGGTTCTGTGGTGTAATGGGTGGGCTGTTGGATCTTTAGACTTCAGTCCCAGCAAAGTCACGGGGTCTAGTTGTTAGCATCATTTGATTGTGTGCTGCCTCTGATACAGAAGTAAATTGATGCTGGTCTGACATCTCTGTTAAAGAATCCTTGTGAGAGGCAGATTGGTTAGTTGTGAAAGATGGCCTTATGTTCTATTGAGTAGTGCATCTGCAGTCAACTCTAAGTTAATACTATGAATCAAAGGCAGGTTTATTTTAAATCAGGTTACTTCTGTAGGCTCTGTGGCACAATGGAGAGTGTGTTGGACTTCGAGACTCTGATTGGGTAAAACCTTTTAAAAGTTCTGGATTTGCCGCCCACTCGAGTCATGTGGCTTTGTCATTAGCTGGCTTTCTGTTATATCAAAGTATCTACGTCTGCAGTGAAATCACCTTTGTAGGATAATGCTATCAACCACAGGCAAGTTTGATTTGGATCAAGTAATTTTTGTAGGCTCTGTGGTGTGATGGGCAGTGTGTTGGGTTTCTGGCGATCATCCAACAGTTGTGGGGTTGAATCTCATCCAAGCTCCGGGCCTTTGTCGTTGCTATAATTTAGTTCTACTCTGCTTCAGGTATGTGATTCAGAAATAAACTGACACAGGTGTCTCTGTCAAAGAAGAATCCATCAGGGAAGGAAATCGCTTGGCCATTGGTTCTAAATGCTGGTTTTCACAGGCATGGTTGATCTGGCTCAGACTTGCACCTTCAGGGTTGATGGTTTAGATTCTGCTCCATTAGCAGAGACAGTTCAGGTCCAGAAAGTAAAACTCCAGACCCAGATTTTATTTCAAACCAATCATTTCAGTTTAACGAGTCACAGTCACAAAGCACTCAGCTGGTTGGTCGAAACAAAATCTTGGTCTGGATTTATATTTTCTGGACCTGGATTATCCACCTCTGCCCATTTGTGTGGAGTTTGCTGGTTTTCCCATTTCCATTCAGCTTCTGCATGCAGACTGAAGGTCTTTAGTAATGCTAATTTGGTATCTCTGTTGTCCATCATGAGTTTGTATAAGTGTGTCTGTAGATGGACAGGCATCATCTTTGGGGTTTATCCCAGCCTTGTGTTATGTGCTGCCAGGAATAGGCTCCAGTCCACCCCCCCACCCCCCCAACCCTGACCAGAATAAGCAGTCGAAGTGTGATGTAATCGGAGTCAGAGTGCAAACTAATGAGCATGTATTTATAACGTTTTGATTGCTATAAACCAGGGTTATTCAACTCACGGTCCTCGAGGTCCAAGCACTGCTGGTTTTCCAGCCTTCCTTTACCCGTCAGTCAGGTGTGAAGCCTCTGACCAATCAGAATCAGTAATTATTAAACTAACTACCTTGGACAACTGAAAACACGGCCTGGATTTGGAATCGAGGTCCAGAGTTGAAGAACCCTGCTATAAACTGTCTTTGTTATGCAGATGTCTACAAAACCCAATTATGCCTGGTGCATAAATCACGCTGAAAGGAGAGAAAAGGCAATCTTAAAATATAGACCTTTACTTAATTAAAATATTGCAATATATTTACAAGTTACTTTGAGAAAAAAATAAATAGCTATATTTATATAAACACAGTAACATATTTACATGGCATGAGCAGTGACACAAAAGATGCAGATGTGAAGTGAAATGACTGATGACACAATACATTAAAAATCTTCTACGACAGACACTTTGTATACATATTTTTAAAAATCCTGGTCTGATTGCACATTCACTCTATTAGCTTGGCTGCCTTTGTTGGCTAAATATTGAGGCCTGGGTTTCCTTTTTTATGCTTTCTTCTCATGAATGGTCCAGTTTTGTAGAGTCCACTTGGTGGTCATGAATATTATTCTGTTTCAAGACCAAGGTCTCCATATTGTTTGCGTCGGACTGGGGAACAACTGTCGTCTCTGAGCACTCCTGTGCCCCCTCCTGGTCGGGGAGGGAATTGCAGGAAGAGGACGGCTGATAGGGGTATGATGGGCTGTAATAGGGGGAGGGCAAACTGTCTCCACAGGAACCAGAGGGTACAAGCTGGGGGGGGGAGGCATGGGGGGAGGTGACATAGAGAGAGATGTCAGGGAGCAATCAGAGGAAGGAGGAGAGAGGGAGGAAGGAAAGGTGAAGTAACTGGGATGGGAGTGATATGGAGGAGGGGTGGTGAGAGAAG